CTTGCACCAGCCCCACTCGTTCTGAGTACCGTCCAACTCCTCAACCATAAACTTATCAATACCGGCCTGATCGGTAACGTCCTTGCCGATGATAGCGGGGGCAATGACCTTCTCGACGTTGGCGACAGCCTTGAGGACACCCTTACCCTGATAACGGGCCTTATCACCATCACGGAGCTCAAGAGCCTCGAACTCGCCAGTGGAAGCACCAGAGGGGCAGGCAGCGCGGAACATGCCGTCCTTAGTGGTAAGATCAACCTCAACGGTCGGGTTGCCACGAGAATCGAGGATCTCACGGGCCTTAATGGAGATAATAGTCGACATTATTATTGAATAGAAGAAATATCAATCGAAACTGCAATGAGATAATATAGACAATACAACACTACAATGATATGCTCTAACATTCTATGATACGAAGCTGCTGAATGGACGAACATCCGCTGCAGCTGAGGTCAATAACCTTTAGCTCGCTTAATAAGCGGCGACGGCGAATGTGTAGATGGCAAGAGTGTTGTGACTATTCTGACTAGGATGATGTGGCTTATGGGAATTCAATAGAGTTGAGATGCTCCGGTGCGCCATAGGCAACCGAGTTGATTAAGGTTGAGTCGCCTCAATTGTGTCCTCGATTACTCTCATGGTTACACATTTCTCTCTCTGATCCATGACGATCAACGGCAGTTGCAACTAAATGTGCCGAACAAATACTAATAGCCGTGATAACGGCTTCCACCATTGAAGTTCAATGGGACATGCTCGCCAAAGTCGTACACAACCAACATACGAACAGTCCTCTCTAGACTGCCGAGGTCAGACTAGGGAGACCTCTAGCAAACCACCCCTGCGAGAGAGACAGCACACACAATACATGCCTGCAGCAGTAGGGTGGCAAGTTCCATCCTGGGAAGGAATGATCTACTGATGATGACTGCAAAATGTGAGTTCAACCGAAATATCGAGCATGTGAGTTATTCTTCAAGTTACTTGAATCAAGTAACGGTGACATTTTAGTTCGAGGGGAGTCGATCCTCTTTATTTATGGCAGCAAATATCAGCTGATGCCCACTACTTACTGAGTAGTACTCAGAGACAACTCAGGTGTTCGCTGGTGTTGCCATAAGCGTGATCCCTATGTTACTATGTACTGCGTAGTATACAAGGCGGGTGTATGCACTTGCCCGGTGCTCTAGCGGCCGCTCAATTTCCGATCCTTTTCGAAAACTAAACGCTTGTGAGCGTGCTGATTTGTTACCAACTACCCCACTATTCGCATCCTCTTTTTACTGAGCTCGATACTCTGGCGCAACTCGGAGAACATACTAGAGTTACTCCAGTAAAGTAGCGTACTCTGGAACTATCTTCCCGTGTGTTGGGACCCATCCAAGTGACAGCCTACAACTCCAGCAACATTGAAGGTAATGAGATGTCCCACAAGGCTATTTGTCTGAGCTCTTAAGTCACTTCCATTGCTTCATTCGCTATAACTCAACATCGGATGATAACGACACAAAATTGAGTACTATGGTCGAGGGCTCAGCTCGAGCCGAACCTTCCCTTCAAATGACGCAGAAACCCAACACTGCTGAAGGCCTCGAGTCAAAACTGAATCCTTCATGAGCTGAACTAGCACTTGTGATAAACGAGCGAGTTCCCTGAGGCACTCGATTGGAGAACTTCCATCGGGAACCAGCCACATGGCAAGTCTCGATTGCTGGAACACATTTGTTAAACAGTTTAACGATTGTGCTTCAGGAACCGAAACCCGCGGTTTGACTGGAACCGGATAGCCGACGATTGATGGAGCTTGCTGGACGAATAGAAGCCCAGTAGAAGAGCGGATATTCAGAGCTGCTTACCACGCTCATGAGCCATCACACTGACGCGCGGAAAACTCGGGGGCATCT